TCGTTCTCTCTTCTCTCTCTCTTTCGCCTCCTCTCTCTCTCGTCTCTCTCTCATCTCGTCTCTCTATCGTTCTCTCTTCTCTCTCTCTCTCGCTCTCTCTCTCTCGTCGTATCTATCTCTCTCTCCCCTCTCTCCCTCTCTCTTCTCCCTTTCCCTCTTTCTCTTTTTTGTACAATATTCACACTCACTCGCTCGCTCACTCACTACTCTCACTCACTTCACTCACCTCACCTCACTCACTCACTCACTCACTTCACTACCACTCACTCACTCACTCACCCACCCACACAAGACATCGGTAAATTTTCACTCTCGCAGACCGCTGCTACAGTAACTGATTCCACTTTCCCTGCTGCACTGCTGCCCATAACAGAGGCTATTGTTTTCCACAGCCGGCGTACTGTACTACCATAGTCACCTGATTATGCAAGCTACATTTCTTTCCATTCGTACTAGCTGGGCGTCAGTAACTATGGAAGGGGTATGTGTCAAAATTCAAAGCGTTCAATTGATCGATTGATTGTTTAATTTGAACAGTGCAATTAATCATTCAAAGCGTTCAATATGATCGATTGATTGTTTAAGTTGACAAGTCATTTAAATGCATTCAACGTTCAATTGATCGATTGATTGTTTCAATTGAACAGTTCAAATTAATCATTCAAGACGTTCAATGATCAATTGATTGTTGCAATTGAAGCAATCAAGTTAATCATTCAAACATTCAATGAACAATCAATTTAATCATTCAAAACATTCAATTGAAGCAATTCAATTTAATCATTTCAACATTCAATTGCGAAAATCAAGATTTAATCATTCAAACATTCAATTGAGCAATTGAACTGATGAATTGCAAAATTGAATCAATTGAATAGGCGTAGTTGAAATCATGAATGGAATCGCGCTGCGAGGCTCGTATACGCCCAAATTTAAACCCACATGCGCCAGAGATAAGAGACATGACGGAAAACGTGGTAGCACGTACGTTGCTAAGAAACGGCAATCGGGCCAAACGTTTCCCAGCATAAGGGCCTATTTACACGATTGCGTCTTTGGACAGTACGTTCTAGACGTAGTCAGAGAACGCATACGTCCAAAACGCACCGTGTAAACGTATTGCGGTACGACACATTTTATGACCGTTGCGATATCCGGATGGCACAGGACCATGTCTAAATTTCATCGACATCGTAACCAGGAGCAAGAACCCGACCAATCAAGGTGGGCAAGATTGGTCACGTGCTTGGTCCGAGCTTTGGTCACGTCCTTCTTCGCGATGAACATGTTGTATCGAGATGAATATCACTATGGGATGTCCACAACTACCATAAAAGTAGTGTGCCGTTGTGTGTGTGCGTGTGTGTGTGCACGTAGCGTGTGGCGTGTGTGTGTGTGCCGTGTGTGTGTGTGTGCGTGCGCGTGTGGGTGTGTGTGTGTGTGCCGCGCTGCGCCGCGTGTGTGTGTGTGCGTGCGTGTGCGTGTGTGTGTGGTGTGGTGTGTGTGTTGTGGCCTGCGCCGCCATGTGTGTGCGTCTGTGTGTGTGTCTGCTGTGTGGCGGGTGTGTGTGTGTGTAGCCTGTGTGTGCGCGCAGCGGGTGGCGTGTGTGTGTGCGTGTGCTGTGCGTGTGCGTGTTGCGTGTGCGTGTGCGTGCGTGTGTGTGTTGTGTGTGCTGTGTGCGTGCGTGTGGTGCGTGTTGTTCGTATGCCGCGTGTGTGTGCGCTGCGTGTGTGTGTGTGCGCGTGTATGTTGTGTGTGCGTGCGGTGTGGTGTGTGTCTGTGATGGTGTGTGTGTGTTTCTGGTGTGCACGCGCGCGTGTGTGTGTGTGTGTGTGTGACGTGTGGTGTGTGGCGCCGCGCAGCGTGTTTGTGTGTGTTATGTGCGTGTGTGTGTGTGTGGTGTGTGTGTGTGTGTGTGTGTGTGTGTGTGTGTGTGTGTGTTGTGTGGTGTGTGTGTGTGTGTGTGTGTGTGACTGGTGCATGGACACAGTCACTGTAAAATGTCGGCAGCAGCACCGCTTCTCTCGTTACTGGCGTACGCGACGCGCGCACGCACCACGCACGCACACACCAAACACATGCGATGTGCGTGCGCGTCTGCCTACACCACCCACACACACGCACATACACACACACACGCACACGCACACGTACACGCACACTACACGCACACGCACACGCACACGCACACGCACACGCACATACACACACACACAGCACCAACACAACACACACACCACACACACACACACACAACACACACACACAATGTATATATTGTTCTGCAGTCTGGAGTACGTCCAAAATCTTACCGTGTAAACAGATCTCACCGTTGTCGTCCTAGAGTCCTGGCAATCTATCAAGTCCTGGACTACGTCTAGGACGCATCGTGTAAATAGGCCTTAAGTGTGTTGTACCCGCGTTACGTGCCGTGTACCCGCTGTGTACGGCGTGTACCCCGCTGTAACGTGCTCTGTTCCCGCGTGTACGTGCGCTGTACCCGCGTGTAACGGTGCGTTAGACGCGCGTGTACGTGAGTGTACCTGCGTGTACCGCGCGTGTTACCCGCGTGTACGTGCGTGTACGCCGCCGTGCTACGTGCGTGTACGTGCGTTGTACCGTGGCGTGCACGTGCGTTTTACCCACGTGTACGTGCGATGTACAATGCGTGTTAGCGAGCGTGTACCCGCGTGTACGTCGCGCTTGTACGCGTGTACGTGCGTGTACCGCCGTGTACGTGCGTCGTACGTGCGGTGTAGCGTGCTGGTACATGCGTGTACCGAGCGTGTACCCGCGTGCTACGTGGCGTGTAACCCGCGTGCACGTTGCGTGCACCCGCGTGATACTGCTTGTGTACTCGCCGTGTACTGCGTGTACCGCGTGTACCGTGCGTGTACCACTCCGTGTACGGTGCGTGTTAGCCCGCGTGTACGTGCGTTGTACCCGCGTGTACGTGGCGTACCGTGCGTGCACGTGCGTGCCACCTGCTGCTGATACCGCCGTGCACGTGCGTGCACCCTGCGGTACTTGCTTAGTGTACTCGCGTGTACTGTGCGTGTACCGCGCGTGTACGTGCGTGTACCCGCGTGTACGTGCGTGTACAGCCGCGTGAGCGTGCGATGTACCGCGTGTACTGCGCTTGTACGTGCGTGCACGTGCGGCGCACCCGCGTGTAATTGCTGTGTACTCGCGTGACTGTGCGATGTACCGCGCGTGTACGTGCACGCACGTGGCGCGCGGGTACACGCACTACACGCGCGTACATGCGGTACACGAGATAACACGCCCGCACAGCGGGTACACGCCACGTACACGCAGGTACACGCAGATACACGCACGTACACGCGGGTACACGCAAGGGCACGCGGGTACACGCACGTGCACCGCACGTAACACGCACGTACACGCGGGGTAACAGCTCACGTAACACGCGGGTACACGCAGGCTTACAACGCACGGCACGCGGTAACACGCACGTGCACGCAGTACACGCACGTTACAGCGCGGTCACGCACGTAAACGCAGCTACACACACTTAGCTGGGAAACGTGGCCGATGCGTTTCTAGCAACGTTACGCTGGCTACACGTTTTTCCGTCATCTCTCTTATCTCTGCGCATGTGGTTTAATTTGGCGATATACGCACCTCGGCGATTGCTCCATTCCCATGATTCAATAACGCACTATTCATTGATTCAATTTGGCCAATTCATTCATGTTCAATTGCTCAAATTGAATGTTTTGAATGATTAAATCTGATTGTTCAATTGAATGTTTTGCAATGATAAATGGATTTGTTCAATTGAATGTTGAATGATATAATATGAAGTTTAATTGAATGTTTTGAATGATTAAATTGATTGGTTCAAATTGATGTTTGAAATGATCAAATTGATGTTCAATGAATCATGATTTGAATGATTAATTGATTGTTCAATTGAAACAATCAATGATCAAATTAACGTTTGACATGATTAAATTGACTGTTCCAAGTTGAAACAGATCATATTCGGATTCAATTTGAACAATCATTCGAATAGATTGAATGTTTGAATGATTAAAATTGATGTTCAATTGCCAACAATCATCGAATAATTGAATGTTGATGATTAAATTGACCTGTTCGAATTGAACAATCAAAATCGATCAATTGAACAATCAATCGAATAATGATATGTTTGAATGATTACAATTTGACTGTTCAATTTGAAGACATATCAATGATCGCAGATTGACAATCAATCGAATAATTGAATGTTTGACATGATTAACATGTGATATGTTCAATGGTGAACAATCAATCGAATGTGAATGATTAAAATTGAACTTGTTAATTCGAAGCGTTTGAATTTTGACACATATTCCCCTCCAGTAAGTAACCGCCACAGCAGTATTGTGTGCTTATTGCTTGTTTGTACACTCATGCCTAGTATGAAAGCAAGAGCTATAGCTGAAAGCAAGAGTTGTTGTTACTCTTATCGCCCTCCTATACAACATGAGAATTGGGTCGTGAGAAGATATCTCTGCGTCCTGCAGTAGCAATACCCGGGTATTAGTCGGCAGTGATAACATAGCATCAACACTGGCAATTATGGGCACTAGAACTAGTCTAGGTGAGTGGGAAGGCGAGATGTATGTGTTACGATAGAATACGCAGCCGTCCTGTAAGCTACTTCAAAATTCCGATATAAATGCGCCGTGCATTATATATGTGTGTGTGCGTGCGTGCGTGCGTGCGTGCGTGCGCGCGTGTGTGTGTGCGCGCGCGCGCGTTTGTGTGATAGATGGAAGTTATGTTGACTTTACTACGTGTATAACCTTGACTTGCATGGCGTGTCTCGTGACTGCGGCCCTGTCAAAAGTATTCGTAGACAGTGAACAGTCACCACCATGCTGGAAGTTGTTACTACTATAGTTTTCTCGTCGTTAATTGCCTTCCGGGTTTTGAATCGATCGAGCGTGGACGCTAAAATTCCAGCAAGTTAGCAATTAACCCGTCATGTAAATTATGCAAAAACTGTCCGCGCCTGCGCTCGGCGCTACGAGAGATTCGATTGCGAAAGTTTTTGGACAACGCCGATAAATTTTGGCAGTGAACTGTTGTTGAGCAATAACGTTGACAGCTGAACGGTCTGTGGGGGCACCTTGCCAAGCAGTGTGCGCAAAGGTGGAGTATAGGAGGCGGTGCATGCCGCCGTAAGGTTTACGTGGCCGGTATTTGAATACAGGCGATGCTATATTCCCTCCGCCAGTGAAAGCAAATATGACATTGCCCAAAAGCGAACCGAAATATGTCAAACCCACAATCTCGAGGCCATAACGCGAAAGTAAAAAACATATCGAACAGGGGAGGCTGGTGGGGGAACTACGGGAACGTAAGTTCAACTGAAGGTAACCATGTAAGCCATAGCTGGAAAGGACCACACGTATACCTTTTCACTAAGTGAAACAGTCGCGAGCCTGGTCAGGAGTGCCAGAGATTGGGGTTAGGCTATACGTGTGACTGCTCGGCTACGTACGACGGCCCAATTGTCCGAAAAACCCACTAAGTCCGAAGCCACTAGTGCCGAAAACCCACAGGGGATGGGGTGCCGAATCTATGGTCCTAATGTTTAATTATTTAATTAATTTTAATTTTTAATTTTATATTTTAATTTTAATTAATTTATTTTAATTTTTTAATTTAATGTAATGTTAATTTTAATTTTAAATTTTAATATTTATTTATTTTTTAGTTGGCACTGTAATTTTATTGGTAAAAAACTAACCACAAATGTCATACATGTCAACCACAAATGTAAAAATTTTTGTTTAACCACAAATGTTAAAAATTTATTACAAAGTTATTATCAGATCGTGTGTATGTGGCGCGTGGCGTGTGTACGTACGTACGTGCCGTGTACATATGTCTGTACGGCGCGTGTTATGTGTGTACGCCGTGTACAATGTCTCTACCGCCCCCCCCCCATCCCCCACATTCCCCCTACTATTACCCCGCACTCTACCGCTACCATACCCCACCCTACCCTACCTACCCTACCTACCTTACCATACGCTCCCCCTACAGTCCGCCTAAAAATTTCAAAATTTGAAAAAAATTAATTAAAATTAAAAATTAAAAAATTAAAAATTAAAATTAATTAATTAATTAAACATTAGGTATAGATCGTACCCCATTCCCTGTGGTATTTCGGATCCGTGGGTTTTCGGACTAGTGGCATTTCGGACTAGTGGGCTTTCGATAGTGGCTTTCAGGACCTATTGGGCCGTCGACTAGCGAGCTGTAACCAGGCTATTACAGGAGATGGGTGTTAGGCTAATAGTACAGGAGATAGGGTTAAGGCTATACAGGAGATAGGGGGTTAGGCTATACAGGAGATTACAGGGGTTTAGGCCTATATACAGGAGATAGGGGTTAGGCTATACAGGAGATACGGGGTTAGGCTATACGGAGCATAGGGGGTTAGGGCTAACAAGGTGATAGGGGTTAGCTATACAGGAAGATAGGGGGTTAGGCTTACAGGAGATAGGGGTTAGGCTATACAGGAGATAGAGGGTTAGCGCTAGAGAGAGATAGGGTGTTTTGGCTTATACGAGATCTAGGGTGTTTAGGCTATAGTTACGGAAGATAGGGGGTTAGGCTATAGAGCGAGATGGGTGTTAGCTATTACAGGAGATAGTGGGTTAGGCTATTAGAGCGGAGATAGGGTAGTTTAGGCTATACAGGAGATTAGGGGTTAGGCGTATAAGGAAGCTAGGGTGTTAGGCTATACAGAGATAGGGGAGTAGGCTATCAGTACAGGAGATAGGGGGTTTAGGCTATAGAGGAGATAGGGTTTGTTTTAAGGCTATACAGGAGAGATAGGGGTTAAGGCTATTAGTACAGGTGACTAGGGTGTTAGGCTATAGAGGAGATAGGGTGTTAGGCTATACAGGAGATAGGGTGTTAGGCTATACAGGTGATAGGGTGCTGGCTCGTTTATACAGGAGATAGGGGTTAGGCTATAGAGGAGATAGGGGTTAGGCTATACAGGAGATAGGGGTTAGACTATAGAGAGATAGGGTGTTAGCTATACAGGAGATAGGGGGTTAGGGCTTATAGTACAGGAATACGGGGGTAAGGCTATACAGGAGCTAGGGGGTTAGTTATACAGGGAGATGGTGTTAGGCTATACAGAGATAGGGGGTGTAGGCTAATAGTACAGGAGCATCAGGGTTAGGCGCTATACAGGAGATAAGGGGTTAGGCTGATACAGGAGATGAGGGTTGTTAGGCTATAACAGGTGATAGGGTGTTAGCTATACAGGAGATTAGGGGGTTAGGCCTATCAGAGGAGATAGGGTGTTACTATACAGCGAGATAGCGGGGTTAGGCTATAGCAGGAGATAGGGTGTTAGGCTTATACAGGAGAGTAGGGGGGTTAGGGCTATAGGTAAACAGGAAGATAGGGGGGTTAGGCACTATAGCAGGAGATAAGGGGTTAGGCTTATAACAGGAGACGGGTTTAGGGCTATACAGGTGATTTAGGGCTATCAGAGATAGTAAGGCTATACAGGAATAGGGGTTAGGCTTATACACGGAAGATAGGGGGTTAGGCCTAAGTACAGGAGATAAGGGGGTTAGCATAGTACAGGAGATGGGGAGTTAGGCTATACAGCGAGATAAGTCGGTTAGTTATACAGGAGATAGGTGTATCTCGAGGCTATACAGGTGATAGGGGGTTAGGCTATACAGGAGATAGGGGGTTAGGCTATACAGGAGATAGGGGGTTAGGCTATACAGGAGATAGGGGGTTAGGCTATACAGGAGATAGGGTGTTAGGCTATAGAGGAGATAGGGGGTTAGGCTATATAGGAGATAGGGGGTTAGGCTATACAGGAGATAGGGTGTTAGGCTATGCAGGAGATAAGAGTAATAAAGCATCCATACTGTGTATCGTCAGCAAGGCTGCGTCCTTCGAGCGTCCGTCCATCATAAGTGTAATTTATCATCGTCAGCGGGAGATTTCTCACGGCCCGTGGGGCCACAATTTAAAAAAAAATTGTTTGCTCTCACCCGACCCAGGCTGAAAAGTTTGGGTAGGTAGGTAGGCTTTTTTTAGGGGGGTATTTTTTACAAATTCAGCATGGTGTCTACATGCTCGGGTGTGCTTGTGTGGAGATAGCTTTTATGTTGAATGTTGGTTTTGCTTGGTACATATAATGTATTGCCTACAGATTTATATAATGTACAGTGATACAATTTGTAAAAAGAAAAGAATGGGAAAGATCAATAAAAATGTTTGAGTCGGCCCCTTTTTGGCGGGTCGGTCGGGTGAGGGCAAACAAACAACATTTTTATTATGGCCTGGGAACGCATGTCGTAGGGGGACCGAATAATGCTGTTACATAACAACATTAACTTACTAAAGGAGCTTGATTGATGAGATTTCGGCTGCTTGGCGCCTCTGCCCCACTCGTTAGCAACGCTACATTATTCAAACGTAATCTCATGTCCGATGTCTAATGTTCTCTCTCTCTCTCTCTTTCTCTCTCTTTCTCTCTCTTTCTCTCTCTCTCGCTCCCTCTCGCTCTCTCTCTCTCTTTCCACCTCTCGCTCTTCCTCTCTCTCCCCCTACCCCTCCCCCTCTCTGTCTAATTCTCGCTCACCTGGTGTCTGATGCACAGGCCTCTAGTTCCACTGAAGCACCAGACTGAGTACGACATACTCGCTCCGCGCGCGGCAACGAGGAAGCTGAGGGTGATCCGACTCACGCAGCGCGGAGGAGACGGATGCGGACTTGGCTTCTCCATCCGAGGAGGTGAGCACAGCTTACTCTGACTAGATAGATGCTCGTTTCCCTCCAATCCTTGCACGCGTTTTGCTAGCTCTAGAACTATAGCCTTTCGCTCTGACCTGTGGCTACAGCCTGTGGCCACAGGACTGTGGTGGAGCGATGGGCTATAGTTATACAGCTAGTGTTTTGCGTGCAGTAGAAAGGATTGATGTAACTCGGCAGTGCGATGCAGCGTGCGTAGTAGAGCTACGTGGGTTGAATGCGTGTAGGTGCTGCAGGCTGGGACATGTGATGCAGCTAGTAATATAGTATGTAATACAGTGTGTGATACAGTGAGCAATATATCATATAATAGCCTCGTCTACACGACGAACCTTAACTCGAGTTAAGCTAACTCGAGTTAAGCGTTAACTCGAGTTAGCGATTATGTAGCGTCTACACGACGAACCTCAACTCGAGTTAAGCTAACTCGAGTTAGCGATTATGTAGCGTCTACACGACAACACCCGATAGCGATTATTACCGATTTATTATACATGCGTGCGTGCGTGTGTATGTGAACGTGCGTGCGTGTGTGCGTGCGTGCGTGCGTGCGTGCGTACGTACACGTGCGTTCGTGCGTGCGTGCGTGCGTGCGTGTGTACGTACACGTGCGTGCATGCGTTAGTGCGTACATGTGCGTGCATGTGTGCGTGCATGCATGTGCACGTACACGTGCGTGCATGAGTGTGTGCGTGCGTGTGCAAGTACACGTGCGTGCGTGCGCGCGTGCGCAGGTACACGTTCGTGCGTTCGTGCGTGCGTGCGTGCGTGTGCACGTACACGTGCGTGCATGCGTGAGTGCGTACATGTGCGTGCATGTGTGCGTGCGTGCGTGCGCATGTGCGTGCGTGTGCACGTACACGTGCGTGCATGCGTGCGTGCGCGTGTGCGTGCGTGTGCACGTACACGTGCGTGCGTGCGTGCGTGCGCGTGTGCGTGCGTGTGCACGTACACGTGCGTGCGTGCGTGCGTGCGCGCGTATGCAGGTACACG